AGACCACCCTGCATATCAGATATTTACATTACGATTCATAACAGTAGCAACATTACAGTTATGAAGTAGCAATAAAAATAATTCATGGGTCACAACATGAGGAACTGTATTTAAAGGGCCAGAAGGTTGAGAACCACTGATTTAGTAGATCTGGGGTAGGGGCCTGTATTCTACATTCTCAACAAGCTTCCAGGTGACATCAATGATGCTAATGCAGTGTGGTAGGCAGCCTTTAAGGGCCCCCAATGATCTGTGCATCCTCATATTTTTAAAAATACTTTTTATTGATTTCAGAGATGAAGAGAGAGAGATAGAAACATCAAAGATGAGAGAGAGAGAGAGAGACAGAGAGAGAGCGAGAGAGAGAGAGAGAGAGAGAGAGAGAGAGAGAGAGAGAGAGAGAGAGAGAGAGAGAGAGAGAGAGAGAGAGAGAGAGAGAGAGAGAGAGAGAGAGAGAGAGAGAGAGAGAGAGAGAGAGAGAGAGAGAGAGAGAGAATGAATCATTGATCTGCTGCCTCCTGCAATGCCCCTCCTGGGGGATTGAGCCCGCAACCCGGGCATGTGCCCTTGACCAAAATCGAACCTGGGCCCCTCATTCCACAAGTTGATGCTTTATCCACTGAGCCAAACCAGCTAGGGCTGTACATCCTCATATTTACACTGTTGTGTAATGCCCTCTCATTACATGTGAGCTGGATTTAGTGACTCACTTCTAATGCAGAAGACAGGGCAGAAGTAATGAGATTCCATTTTTAAAAAGACTGCAGCTTCTGCTTTGGGTGCACCCTTTCTCTTGAACCCCTTGCTCTGGAGAAAAGCAGCTGTCATGTCATGAGGCACCCAGTAGACAGATTCATGGGATGAGAAGCTGATGGAGACCACTAGCCAACAACTTAGGAGAGCACTGTACCCTTCAGTCTAGCAGCCTGTGAGGAACAGACTGTGGAATGAGCTTAGAAATGGATCACCTCCTAGTCAAGTCTTCAGATAAGAACACAGCCCTGACTGACAGCTGGACTGGCACTTCACAAGAGACCTTAAGCCACAGGCACCCAGCTAAGCTGCACCCAGATTACTGACCCACAGAAACTGTGCAATAATGCTTGTTCTTTTAAGCCACAAAATTGTAGGGTGATTTGTTGAGCAGCAATAGATAACTAGTATTAGTTATTGGAAAACTATACTTTCAGTTGCAAGGATTTAATCCATGAGCAAAAGACATCTCCTAGAATTAGTGTGGTGATTAAGTGACTTACCACATGTAGAGCAGTTGAATAATGCCTGGTCCAGATTATCAACATGACCATATATCCCTTGTCCTGGCATACATTTTTTTTTGTAGCATAAATATTAAAAAGTTCCCCCTTTCACACTCAAAATAACCCAGTTTGGATAATTCTTTAGGTTATCTATCAAAGGGTACTTGCTTATTTATTTATAACAGAGACATAGGAAGGAGGAAAAAAGAGGCTAGGAAAATGGGGGGAAAAGGAAAGAGGAAACAAAGCAAATGCAGTGGAGGAAAAGATGGCGCTCTCGCCCTTCTCTTACCCAGTCTGATGGCTGTGATAGTCCAGTGATAGGTTTTCGCTTCATCAGCACAGAGACAGCTGGAAGCGTGAGAATCTGTCCGTGATTCCACCCGGTACTCCTCTGAGTTGGCCAGGTTTGTCTGAACCTGAAGAGGATGTTTAAGAGAGAAAGGGTCCAAGTAAAGGAGACAGAACACAGAGGCTTAGGAGAACATGGGGGCGGAGACACCGCCATCGCATCTCTTTCCCAGGGAAAACTGGTACGCTTCCAATTTAGGGGAAACTTACAGTGGGGGTGTGGTTCCTAGGCTGGTGGTACCTGTTTCCTGTACCCCCCATTCTTTTTAAAAAATATATATTTTTTATTGATTTCAGAGAGGAAGGACGAGGGAGAGAGAGCTAGAAACATCCATGATGAGAGAGAATCATGGATCGGCTGCCTCCTGCAAGTTCCCCAAGGGGATTGAGCCCACAACCCGGGCATGTGCCCTTGACCAGAATCGAGCCTGGGACCTTTCAGTTCGCAGGCTGACACTCTATCCACTGAGCCAAACCGGCTAGGTCTGTCCCCCCCATTCTTACCGTGATGCAATCCTTTAGATAATTGAAGATGGTGGCAGTAAGACGAAAGGATTCCCCACGAACTACTGAGTAAGGGAGAGTCAGATCTACAAAGAATGGCTTGAATGCAGTTAGTCCAACAGTGGGTGAAAGACCAAAGCCACTGGACTGGGAGGTACAAAAAGTCATGGCCTTCCACTTGGTGATGGTATCAGGAACAGTGAGGTGGACGGCCTCCTTCCCCGAGTTACTGTGAGAAAACAAGATCCCAGATGAGGCAGAAGTAAATGAAAGAGAGCATTTGAGAATTAAGTTACAAAGTCAGCTGAGAAGTGAATATTCTGATGTTGTGCCTGGGTGGAAACACAAAGAGGCAACGGAATTGGGGGACCACATGAATCTCAGAGTGTGAATCTTCAGGTGAATTGCCGGGAGCCGGTCCATCCTTGCTGTTTCAAGGGACCTGGCATATATGGCATACTGTACTTATGTTTGCTCACCTTCTTGGAACTATGTGTTTTAACCAAGGTCACCTCTCTGAGAAAGGTTGTTTCCCCAGGTAGGGATTTTCCCCTGAAGTTAGGGAGGGAAAAAAACCTCTTAACTGCCAGGCGGGTAATTAATCACTTTAACTACGAACAATCATGCTTAAGCTACA